TATGCAGCGCCGCCGCTATAGGCTCTTTTTTTCTTTTTTTTTTTTTTATTTTAACCGCGTCAGCGTTGTTTTATCGCGTTGCACGGCTCTAGCTTCGCAAACAACTTCTTTTCTGCGCATCTGGCAGTTACGAACAGCGAAACGCAGAGTTTTCGAGGATGAATTATTCTTCTTCGCTCGTCAATTCTCTCGATGCGATTTTCGCAAAAGCCGCACATTCGCTATCATACATATTTAGTTGTCTTTCGAAGATCCCCACGGACAAAGCTTTGTGTAACATTCTAAAAGCCGGTAAACAAATGTGAGAGTGTCGAGCGAAGAGGAACTTAAAACAGCATCCACTTAAAACTTCAGTCACTTTAACAAACTCCTCCTTCGCGAGAAGGGAAAAGGCTTTAAAAGCCCGCGCGCCAGCGCCTCGCAGTCATTCGGACAAGCTTACGCGCGAAGGAGTCTTGGCGATTAAAATAAATTTCTCAAGCATAGGCTCTAAGTTTTAATGAATCTAACGGTACTTGACTGCCTCGCGCGCGTGCTCTCTCTCTCTCTCTCTCTCTCTCTCTCGCTCAAAATTTACGACTTGCTGCATATGTAGACTAACAAGTTTCGGCGAACAAAGACGAGAAAATAAGTCGTTTAATAATTCGCAAAAGTTTTCTCTCGAGTTGGCGAGTATTATGGTTTGAAGAGGCCGGTTAACCATAATTGAATAGCCTTGAACCCTAAGAGCAGCAGCGGCAGCAGCAGCAACAGAGCACGTCCCGTCTATATTGCCCGATTGTCCCTGTCGCAGCAATATGCTCTATCCGTCTCTCTCGACGAGTGCGACGACTCATAGCAATGTCGTCGACTGCGGATGCAGTCTACATTCATCTTGATTGTTTCACAAAGCCACTTATTTTCACAGTAAAAACTTCTCTACCGAGGTTTATTATATCTAGCCGCCGTCGTTCGCCAATATCTCATTAGAGCGCGGCGTGTCTTACTAAAGCGAACTCATACTACTTAAAAAAAATGAATCTCCAATCGAGGCTTAACGATTTATTTTCTACTTTTTGGTTCATTTCATTTCAGTTGGAGACCAGTGATTGCTCCGATTCTCTCCTTTAATCAAATAAACAATGATAAATTATTTGAGGTGAGTAACTTTGTTTCTTCAAATTACGGTAAGACTTTTCCTCGAACTCTGTCGACCTACTATTGCATTACACTATCGTTTTGCCTTGATCTCCAATTTACCCAGTTAGCAATGTAAATGTACTTTACGTTCCTTTTTCGTGAACAACATTTAAAGAGCGCGCACGTTTCAGCATCTCTCTCGCAACATCAAAGCTCAGCAGCAGCAGCAGCAGCGTGCGGCGTTCGTTAGCATCTCTTATATACACACGAAGCTTAACATCGTCCTTAATTGGATTTGTAAGTCTCTCTATCGTTCACGTCTTGACGAGATATCTTCAAAGGAGAAAGGTCTGGCCGTGATTTTACGTACGTCATCGTACGACAGAAATCTTCCTAGTAATATTTAAGAAAAAAAGTCTAGGTAATCCATACATTCGAGCGGCGATGATACAAGAAAAACAAAGCGGCCAAGTTTTTTCCCCCTCGGACTATAAAAGCAGTTGAATTTTCGGCTTGGCCCCCCTCACGGTGTCGTTCAATTACGCCCAGGCTATTTTAAATTTCTTTGTTCGCCGGCAGAGTAGCTTAATTAGACCGAATGTGCGTCCGCTAAGTGGTTTTTTTCCCTCTTCCAGTACCCTCTGCCGTCGCCCGCCAAGAACAAATAGTCCGAACGAATGAATGATTGCTCGCGATTCATCAAAACGAGCAATGCGTCGAAAAAAAAAAAGAAAAATAAAGAAGGCGCTCATGGTTGTTAACATTGACGAGGTTGGAGAAATTGGCGTGTACAAGGCGGCAGCTCATACTTCAGATTAATGCCTCGACCGTGTTCGAGACTCCTCTCGCAATATTCCATCACAGCAGACAGTTTCGAGGCGGCGGTGACGGTACAATACGATCGAGATACATTGTGCGTGCCCTAATCACGCCATTGTCTGCTGCGGTACGGCGCGCGACAAGGCAAACCGAGACCGATTGTTCCTTCAAGCCTCGTGAGTGTTTGACTTGCACTTCGCTGTATTCGTATATTTCACCTGTAAGGCAGAGAACGCGAGAGAGAGATAGAATCGCTGTAGATAAATTCCAAATAAGATAAAAAACTAAAGTGCAAAATATTTCGCTAAAAATCAGTAAGTATACCTTCTCTCTGATGTCAGTGCTAACACGCAGCAATTTATGAATCGCCAATAATCGGGAGGTCTGCTAAGTGCGCCTGACGTTAACGTTGGTAACTGCTACAAATACACACTGCTATTCGTTAGGCGTGGTGATACCACTGCCAATTAAACGACAGAAAGAGAGAGAGAGAGAGAGAGAGAACAAATTACTCTCTGTCTTTCTGCGTGGCGCTGAATATACGTGTACTCATAGGGAGAGGAAAGTCAAGGCCGCACGCCGCTGGAGAGTTGCAACGCGTCGACCACGTCTACGAGTTCGTAGCTGCGCCCCCGACGCTGAAGCTTGCATATACACACACCCACATACACACACACGTAGAGAGAGAAAGAGAGAGAGAGACAGAGAGAGAGAGAGAGAGAGAGAGAGAGAGAGAGAGAGAGAGAGAACACAGAGGTACAGCGGTCGATAAAATCGTCTGCGCGCGTGCGCCCGAGGCCCTCGTCAGCTGCGTCATTGATCCCCCATGCCAGACTTAAAGAGGATGCTGCAGAACGACTCGCAGTGCCGGGCAGACAGGCTTTTTTCCATCCGATACTATCACTCCGGCTGGCTTTTTGTTTACAGCTTTCGTGATTTTTTTTTCTCGAGGGAGAGACGAGAGAACGTATGATTCGGTAGACATTTTCATCGCTGGTTCGCTGTTGCGCGCTTTGTCGTCAATGCGGTTGAATTGGAGGAGCTTGCGATTTTAAAAAGAGAGTTCAGTTTAAAAAAACACAGGAGCTTTTAAAGCAGCACTCCCTGTGCAAACGGTAAAGCTGGAAGCTAGAATCGCATGAGACCAGTAAAGTTTGGTCATAAAAATTCACATGCACAAACTTTCTATCAGACAGATTGTCCAGTAAACTTTTTTCATCTTCTCCGTAGTTTGATAATCGTTTTTGCCAACGCGGTAGTGCAATTCATAGTTTCAACTCCTCCTCCAGTTGATCGAAATTCCATTATAAATTATATGAACAACATTTTTTATGTTCGTTATGACGCAGACGTTGAACTTCCAACGACAAAGGATGTAACCTTAAGCCCCGATTGCGCTTAATTCGGCTTCTCTCTCTCTCTCTCTCTCTCTCTCTCTCTCTCTCTCTCTCTCTCTCTCTCTCTCTCTCTCTCTCTCTCTTCTATCTCTCTGTCTCTGTCTCTGTCTCTGTTTGCATCCGCTTTTTTTTTGCCAAAAGGACTACTCTATCATGCCCGGTTACATGTTTTTATCGACCGCACATTGAGGCAGGTTCACAAAGGGGGTTGCGATCCAACTCAAGGATACTTTTTTTGCTCGACAAGCTGACATAAGAAACATCTTTTCCCTAACCGTGCTAGGTTACAAATAGTGATATTATTAAAATTATTCATATAAAGCCTTCCGAGTTGGAAAAAATACTTTAGCGTTGTAGTTTTCAGTATTCCTGGGAGCGGATCGTTAAACCGAGCCGGAGCGTCAACTTGAGGCTTTCATCTAGCTCCGGAATTCAATAACGTAACTAAAGTTGGTTCGAAAGTGTACCGTGCAAGAAACGAAAGAAGCCAACAAACTGCATTATACTCCGAGTAAATTACAGAACAATCAAAATACCGCGAGAGCGTGCGCGTACGCTCGTCGGGCAATTTTCAAAAGAATCGCGACGGACAATTTGTCGGATGCGCTTTCACCCGGCTCGCCGATACATCAATGCCAGCTTCTCATTGGAAATCAATTCCTCCCTCCTCTTCGAATCTCCTTAATGACTCGACAAACGAAACGTGGCGCCGAGGCGAGGCTATTCTTCATGCTTGGTCTTTTAATTAACAACGCGCAAAAGATAATCGCAAAAGACGACGCGAAAAGCCTCTCTTTCTCTGTCCTGAGGCGCAGTCGTAACTCAAACTGTTCTCCGGCGCACTGGGAGATCTTTGTCTCTCCTGACGCGTCGTCGTCGTAAGGGGCAAACACATGTGCCATCTGTTTTACGTCGTGCTATGTGTATCGGCTTAAAATAGCAACGCGCAAATATATTTCGAGAATTCACAATTCAACTAAAGTAGCCATCTAGAAAATATTACACGCATTTCCCAAGCGAAGTCGTTTCAAGTAGGATGATTTGTCTGGTAGATGTATATCTCTCTCTTCCTCTCTCTTTTTCTTTTTAATCCGCAGCTGCCAGGCAAGCTTTCGACAATTCCATAGCGATCAAGCGCTTGCGGCAATACAGTAAACACGACTAGATTAGCAATGTGAAAGAAAAAATCAGATCAAGCTTTCTACTTCACCGTACGAATGGGTTCCAGGGAAAAAGAGTTTTTTAAATCATCTGAAATCTTTATTATTCATTTCGTGGATATTTCGGTGACGTTGTTAAATCCCGTTAGAGATGCATGAAGCTTACGGATTCTTTTGATGGTTCTTGTTGGAAAGGACGCGCAAAAAATATTGTTTTTAATAAGAATGTAACTTTTGGTCGGTACAAACGTCACCGAAACCTCGGCGAAATTAATAATAACGATTCGCTCAGAGGGATCCAAAAGGGAAAGACTTAATCGATCACCTAAAAACCGCCTTTTCCTAAACATTGTAGCGAGCCTCTTACATTACAGCAAGAAATATTAGAAATTCAATTCAATTGGGCGAGGTCACGTTTTGCACGCAGGTACGTTGTCGCGTGTTGCTCGCGGTACTCTCATGGGATCTTTGATCGACCAGACTAATATCAAGTTAATAAATTTACCTTGATGTGATAGGAGTTGAGCTTCGTCCTTGGTAGGCTGTTGAACGCGCTGAAGTCAAGACGCCGCGAGAATATGCCGTTTGCACCGCAGCTTTGCCTACAACGATAAACAATATATTGTTATCAATGTAATATTGTTATGTAACGAAAAATTAATGTAATTTCATTGGCTACGCCGTCTGATGAATCATAAGCATTATTGATTTCATTTTTTTCAAAGTTTAAACTAGTTTTACGATCTTGCATAAATTATCATATATATACATTTTCCGTTGAGAAAATTGACACAATATCGCGCCACTTTCAATATTTGTCTTCTTGATACACATCCACTAATCTTATATTGTTAGGTTTTATTTGCTCAATCTTCATATGTAAATTTTAATAATTTCCAAGTTTCTTTTCTAAAAATATGAGAACCAATTTGCATACACCAGTTAATCAGTGTCGGTGTGTGCATGTTTCAAAAAATTGTGTTTAGTTTATTTTGTTATACCCTCGATATACGAAATATTCCATAACACTCTAAACTCTTCAAAATTTCACGATTTCGGGTCTAGTAAAACGTCAATTTCCCGCAACCATCCATAAAAAAGTAGCCAGCCAGCAGAAATAAAATATATGAAGAGACCGCATGGTAGTGACGGAGTGCATTATGCCGAATTACTGTATATTCGAGGGTCACGCCAAAAAGGGACGGCGAATTGAAACTCTGCACGAATGTCTGTCAGTCAAACAACTAAACAAAGTAAAAAACAATGTTCTATTCACCGCGTACGAACGTAAATAAACCACGCACCTGCTCGCCACTGCCAAGACCACGCACTAGCGCTCACCGTGCCTGCACCCCGATACGCGCCTGCGTGCGTGCGTGCGCGCGAGACGAATAAACCAGACACTTAAATGTACAATTTAGTGATAACAAGATCGGAGGTGTCGGTAAAGGTGACTTCGGCCCTCATTATAATTTTTCGTGGCATCATTTCCTTTCGAATACAGTCTCTCTCTCTCTCTCTCTCTCTCTCTCTCTCTCTCTCTCCTCTCTCTCTCTCTCTCTCTCTCTCTCTCTCTCTCTCTCTCTCTCTCTCTTTCTCTGTACTGTCGCCCAAAGGTCATATTCAGATGTGGGCTTGTTTATTTTTAACACTTTATCGAGAACTACTACTCCTCTCACGCAATGACTAACCCCGTGTGTGACAAAATTGATTGACTCAATTACGAGGTAGAAAAAAATGTGGGCGGCGGAGACAATGTGCTACTTACAAAGGAAGTGAAAAAGAGAGATACGAAGAAACCGACAAATGCAGCGAGGCAACCTTGACCTTGACGAGCCCGTATTTTCGGCAGTGTCACCTCTACGGGCGCTCGAGAAAAGAAACGAAGAGAGAGAAAAAAGCCCGGAATTCTATGGCGCGGTGGAGTAGTTGCGTAATCATCGATGTTTACCAGCTTAAAACACGCCAGAGAAAGCCTCGGTAATTTTCACGGCGAAGGCCGATCGTCGACTCTAACAACGAGTACATAATTGAGGCAATATAGATCTCTTCTTTCGTGCCTCGATTACTTTGACCTACGGCGAGAAAGAGAGAGATAGAAAGCTGTTGCTGCTGCTTCGGTAGACCCGAAACCGAAATCGCAAACAGCTCAATCGACTCTTCAATCTTTATGGGCCTTAACTTTGTATTTATTTTTTTTCTTTTTCTTTTGCGTGCGCTCGGAATAGATCAAAGTCGAGAAAAAAAAAACAAAATGAAAGCAAAGGCAAAAAATTGTTGTTCTCCTCGCTGGAGCTCGTACGATTCTCCCATTATTTTCGCGAAGATAGGAGGATAAAACAAAAGAAAGAAATTCCGGCATTCTAAAAATACAAATTCGTTGAAATTGTATCTCTCTTCGTTAATGGCTCCATTTGAATAAATTCGATGCGATGTCGATGAATCAACGCCTTATATCGTTATCTAATCGAGCGCTTGCCCGTAGCGAGTAGTATAACGGTTACATCACCCACATATCGTGCGCACTCCGTTACACCGCCTTTTTTGCGCGGTGCCAATTAAACGTAGCATAGTCTCTTCCATAATATGCTTATTATAGTTAATTCAATGAAAACTCGTCTACTTTACGAGTCTTGGAGAAAAAAAATCGTTATTTGTCGCGGATTAGCATAAGTCGAAAGGAAGAAAAAAAATAACAAGCCTCCGCACAAAAGGCGCCATGCTAATGTCATATGTTTACTAGTGAGTTTCTCGTCTACTCGCTAAAGTCTATACATCCAAACTCAAAGAAAAAAGTTCTCGCCTGCATGAGACGAACGCGTGCGTACGATTTCACTTTGGATTCGCGTGCATTCAATTTCGACTTTTTCTTATAAATATCATCACGGTATTATGCAATTTCATTACACGCTTCCTTGTTTATCGTCAGGTTGTCGCTAGTTACATACACAGACGGAGATTATACCTTGTTCGTTCGTGGTTTTCACAAAAGAAATTAAAGCACATCGATTGATTGTCTCACGTGACAAAACGGCGTTGAATAAACAAGTTTATTTTATCGTTGTGTAATTGAACATTAAATGCATCTTTCTCTTCAAATGCACGATTCGATGTTTATTTTTTAATTTGCTAAATCAGGGCTTAATTATTTTTAGAAATTTTTGAGAGAGAAAAAGAAACAAAGAATAAAGAAAGAATCTGCGACCGAATAGAGGGAGGGAGAGAGAGAGAGAGAGAGAGAGAGAGAGAGAGAGAGAGAGAGAGAGAGAGAGAGAGAGAGAGAGAGAGAGAGAGAGAGAGAGAGAGAGAGAGAGAGAGAGAGAGAGAGAGAGAGAGAGGAGAGAGAGAGAGAGAGAGAGAGAGAGAGGAGAGAGAGAGAGAGAGATCTTTATCTGAAAAGAGACAAGTGGCCGAAGCGTTTGGTGAATAATTTAACGCGTGTGACAAAATACACTTGAGACATGCAAAAGCGGTATATGGGATTCACGACTCGCAAAAGACGCAGTCAAGGCAAGAAGCGAGCCATACTCATTGCGCTGAAAAGAACTTTTATATGCTTCGACGTTGTGGTGAATAAATTGACCGAACATTAAAAAAAACTCGGTTCTTACGTGCGCGTAAGTGAGTTGTGCTAGATTTGATTAAGCCTCTGCCGCGATAACTTACAATATATCAATAAAATGAAAATTCACTCTCTTCGGCTTTGGAAGAATCCACAATTCGTTACACGACCCGCTCACGAGAGAAACGTGAATACTTTACGAAAGCGTAGAATTTTGTTTTTACAAAATACACACAGAGAAAGAGTACGCGCCTCTATTTTTAGCAGAACCGCGAGATAAAGGAAAATTGTCATTCCACTCTCGAGTACACACGAGCGGCAAACAGGCAGAAAGAGCGAGAGGAAGAGAGAGAGAGAGAGAGAGAGAGAGAGACAGCTCTAATTGCATGCTAATCGCGGAAGCGCTTGTTCCCCTAATTAAGTACCTATATCTTTGGACGCGATAACGATCTCTAAGCTAACGAAGCGCCAAGATTTAGCACGCGATCGTATGCTCCGGGCAAAAACGAAACAAGGTATATTCGTCACGCGAGAAAAAGAAAAAAGAAAGATTTTCGGCCAAGCGGATTACAACCTAAAACGATTTAGCCATGAGCGAAGTATAGGCAGCCACTGCCAGCGACAGGGATTCAATCCTTTTCCTTTTTCTCGCTCCAGCAAGAATCGAACGCGCGACTCATCTGTCTGCGCCTACGCTGGAAGCCGCACATCTATCATTAGCTTTTTACCCTTGGAGAGAGGTCATTCGACGTGTGTGGAGAGCAAAAAATTATGGCGGATCACCGCGAGAACGTCCAAGTATAGATCTGCGAGCGAACTTTTGCGCGCCGCGCGCTGCTTGATGGATTGCCGTTTTATGTAAGAGGATGCGTGCGAGTCGGACGTTGAACATTGTAACTCAATGTTTGCATTTGCTCGTAGACTAATGTTATGATAGATCGTTCGCCGTGAGATAATGACGGCGGAGGAACAAAATTGTATTTAGCAACGAAGGCGCAATAAAATTTCGATTAGATAAGGGAGAAAAGTGCAAAATCGTATATGTGGTTATTTTGCAGAGCTGCGAAGCTATGATAAGATAAGAGCTGGCGATAAAAGGCGAGAAAAAAAAATTTGAGGGAAGAAGTCACTTGGAATATTATTCGATGTGCAGCAAACGAGCGAGGAAGAGACTACTACGACGACGACGACGACGACGACGACGACGAAATCGACACTAAAAAGAAGCGCTTCATGAATGTTAACGAGAGATGCGTTTGCCTTTCTCCTTTGTACGCACGCCTGTGTATACGCACGAGTACATTAGCATAAAATTTGACAAACAGCTCGCGGAAGCATCTCCCCCCCCTTCAACGAGTGCGAAAAATACTAAACTGGCCCCTGGGTCAACGTGTGAAGGACGCTTCACGCTTCGCCTTCTTTCCTTTTCTTTATAACCCGCTGACGGTTGCCTTTCGATCAGAATTTTCATGAAAATGCAAGCATTCGGATTCTAAATTTAGCCGCATTCTTGTAGCCGGGCTTTGTCGAAAAAAAAAAAAAAAAAAAAAAACCGTTTTTTTTATGCATGGAACGAGAGCAAAATGTACATCGATGAAGAAGTAAATGCGAATGCTTTAAACAAATTCGCTTCGAAAAAGGATAGCACAGACTCTCGAGTGATTTATATCGCGATAATCTTCCTCATCGATCACAGTGTGCGAGTGCACCGACGCTTAAGAGCCTTAGACAACGTTTTAATCTGCGTCGCGTGGTGCGCACGAAGGCACAGTCTCTCTACTCTTGCCGTCGTCTTTAAGATAGTCCTTGGGCACGACACCGCTTAAAGAGGGAAGGAAGACGAGTTCAGGGTCAAGCTTCATCCTATCTACACGCCGTTTCTTCATAATACATTCGGTGTGCTCAATTATACAGGCGTACGCGCGTTTGGGAAATAATTCGATCGGAAGGAAATCTCTTTGACCTCTATTTTATGACTACGGCCGATTATGACCTGCGATCGAAGTATTTTTTTTCAGTAAAGCAGACAAGAGGGGTGGGGAATCTGATTCATCGTAGTAGGCACACAATTGAGTCAGTGTCTCTCGCATATACGTTGCATCGCCGCGTGGCTACAGTATGGATTATGCAATAATGGCTCGGATTTCTGTTGAAATAGTTTTTTTTTCCACGCCGGTACACAATATTACTATTAAACGAGGTTTTAGAGATACCGTTAACCTCACTATGGGGATTATTATGTGTTTATCGCGTGATTCATACGAAATGAAGCGTTTCTTGTGTGCGACTTGAATAACCGTTTGACCAATAGCAAAACAAAATAAAAATTTTAACGCCGCTCAGTTTTAAAAAGGGGAAAAGTATTTCAGCATCGCTGTTTTTCGTATACGCATAAATTATGCACGGTAATTAATCTAAAATTTATACCACTCGGCGAACTATAATTGCAAATGCGTTACATGGCTGCGGAGAAGGCACGTGTGTAGCGAAATAAGCCTAAGAGGCTCGTCTTCGGCGCAGCATAAATTACAGCGATATTTATCAAAATTGCTCGAGCGATTTAATTGGCGCGCCGGTCGTCTTACGATGACCGGTTTTTCGCCCGTCTATCCCGCATAATCGTCAATTAAATGTCGCGTTATCATTTAATCCGCGGCAAAATCGCAAGGCCGCGCCTAAAATCCAATTGTTGAAATCTGTGGGAAAGGGAAGCTACGAGCCTTTTCAATTTCGCCAAGGACAACGCTCTCCGCTTAAATATTTACGCGCGAAAGATAAAGCACACTATCGTATGCACATGTATACACGGGTGAATTTTCATGAGATGCGAGGCACGCGGAATAAAATATGAGATGTGTGTAGAGCTGCGGAATGGCGAATGAGGCTGGCGTCGCATTTGCAAATTGATAACGATTGAGGATTTTCTTTTTGCGACAGCCGAGCCCGATAAATCATTGGCGCGAACGCGAGAATGGAAGTCGTCGCGCTCCCGCGGAATCGGTTCGGCTAAGTGCTCGCGGCACGGTCGCATGTCAATTCTAACGCTCCGGAAATGACGAGTGCGAGAAAAGACTTTGCGCCTCGCTCACGCAGCTCGATTGGACTTTTCTTTTCTTTTTTTCGCGAACACTAGTCACGCCGTAATGAATATAACTATGACATAAGATTCGAGGCGGAGTAAAGGTTCGAGACGGCCTTGGACATTCTCGCGGCGGCGCACGAGCCAGTCAGCGACGTGCTTGCCGGTGCATCACGGTCAAGGTTAGCCCTTCCCGCTTCGGCGCGCTGCATTTTCATTTTTTCCCCCTTTTTTTTTGCGCGCACAGCCGACCGGGAGGAGCCGGTTTCTCTCTCGCCGCTCGGCCATTTCAAATATAAAAAAAACATATACGGCCGAACAGAGGATTACGGGGGGAGGACGAAAGAGACTGCAGCAGCCAAAGGCTATATAAGCCCAGAATTTCGTAATGTGTTTATGTTTTGGCGAGAAGACTCTTTCCGAGGGAGACTCTGCCGTAATTATTATGCCAGAGATTCACCGTGCTTTGTTTCTCCTTTTCCATTTTTTTTCTTGTCTGACCACGAGGCTGACAGAAATTTTTATTGATATCCTAAAATAAATCATTTTCTCAATTCGGAATACCGGCACGTACTTTTTTCTTTTTACGATCGAACAAACAGTCGATATAAAAAAAATTGAGAAAAGAATCGACGAGAACGTTTCTCGTGTATTTTTATCCCAATCATGCGCAACATAATCGGTTGTTTTCGAATTCGTCAGCTTGGGTACACTGGCACTGAAACCTTCGATAATAGAGGGAAAAAGACAGCCGCACGCGTCCGCGAGCAGGACGCTCGTTGGCAATATTAATTACGAGGGTTCGCAAGCCGAGGCAACGGCGACGGTGAGAGAGAGAGAGAGAGAGAAAAAATTGGGCAGCCTCGTATAATCGATAATGATTTTTATCGCCATACCCGTAAGAGAGAAAAAGGCAGCCAGTCCGGTTGGACAAGTATTCTTTCTGTCTTGCATACACATACACACACACACATATGCGACGCACATTCATACATAAGCGAGCGACGAACATAAATAGGACAGGTTTTCAAGCCGGTGTCTAAATATAGAAAAGAGCGTGCGGGCGAAGCATGGGTGGGGCATCACCAGAGAGACTCGCACTACCCGCTCTCTCTCTCTCTCTCTCTCTCTCTCTTCTCTCTCGTGCGAATTATTCGTGACATCTCAACTACATCGTTGATGCCCGACAGCGAGAAAAATGCTACCGAACAAAAAAAGTATCGAGTGTCGTCCTTCTCTCTCTCGCTCTCTTTGTCCGATCCCCCGAATACTTTTTATACCTGCGAGAGGAGACCCTCGAAAATTTCTCTTGTACACATCGGCATCTTCCAGAAAGAATCACGCGTGTGTTTTTTAACGATCTTTTTTTATTGATCGACCGAAAGAAGAGTGGATTTTCCTTTTTAGATGCAAACGGCACTGCACGTATGTTCGCTCACTATATCGCTTGGCTCACAGAAAGAATGCACGGCATCGCAAACAGAAAAACATGCGCGATCAGTGATATATAAACTAACGCGCGTTTTAGGTGGCCAGGGAATCGCGCAGAATGGAACGTATCAATTGTGGGCGAAGCAAGTATGGCTTGATTGCCAGTTACGAGCGACTTTTCACTGAAAAATTCGATCAACATACGGTTTAATTATCAATTCGGACAAAAACACGTATCACAAATTAATAGCAACCAAGAGAGAGAGAGAGAGAGAGAGAGAGAGAGAACAGACTCTGCACGCTGTTTATATACACACTTTGAAAGATTTCTCAAAGCCATTATGTCATTGTATTTCTGATTTGGTACGTGTGTACACTCAAGGAAAACAAAAAGAAAAAAAGAGCGGACTTATCAAGATAGGAAACACAATAACAGACAGCGAAACAACGCTCACCTGATCCTGTCACCGAAGAATTCGACCTTGCTCTTCCTCTTGACGATGGCCTGTGGCTGATGAAGTGGGCTGACGCTGGTCTCGCTGGTAGCCGGTGGCGAACTTGAGCCATTGCTGGACGACAAACTGCCAGCGCGACCGCGACTCGCGTCGATGATCTGCACGTCGCTGCCGCGCATCATTGGCGTGGGTCCAGCCGAGACGGCGAGGCTCGGCCGGTTGTTCTGCCTGTTGCGGCGTTTCTTCTTCTTCACCTCCTGGCCACTGATAGGTTCGTCGGGACGCGGGTTGTTCGCCGCCCACTCGAGGTCTTTTCTCAGGTGACCACGTGCGCACTTGCACCCGCACGCCTTGTAGGCGAGATCGTAGCCCTTCTTCGTCCAAAGATTCTGGTGTCGCTGACGCTCGGACCAGCTACGCGCACGTCCGCACGACTTGAGGTACGTCAATATCGTCTGCTCCCAAGCGTCGAAGCACTCGCGGTGCATAAACTGTCCCTGCGCGCAGTTCTCGTTGTTGCACACGACTTTCACGCAGTCCTGAGGTCCTCGAATTAACGAGTCCAGGCCTCGTAAACACTCGCCCGGAGTACAGCAGTGACCGGCGACCAGCAGGCTCTCAAAGGCCGCCTCTAGACTCAAGCCGGCCGTCGACGTCTCCAGGTGGCCGTGGCGTCTCGGTGCCATCCTCTCCGTTTTGCTTGACTTGCCTCTTCCGTTTGTCCTCCTCCTCCTCCTCCTCCTCCTCTACTCTTCTGCTTTTGACTGCTCAACAGACAAAGCTGCTTCGCGCGCGTCAGAACTCTCGGCTGCTGCTTGTTGTCATTCCCGCGCGGCAACACTCGTCAAAAGGAAAATACTCCTTGATGCACACGACCAACAAGAAAAAGTACAAAAGGTGTGTACGGCTGCGAATGCTCGTATGTATATGAGAACGGAGAGCCGGCGACGGGCGCCGACCGACTGAACGGTGAAAAAGGAGGGGAGAGCAGGCGAGCGTGAGCGACGCACACGTTGTTCTCACGCGGAGTGCGCAGCAGTTACTGACTGTGTGGTGTAGTTTGCCGGCGCCGGAGCCGCGAGAGAACGAGGGGAGCAGCCGCGGCCGCCGCGCGCGCAAGCGAGAGAGAGAGAGAGAGAGAGAGAGAGCCAAGCGCGAAAGTGAGATCCCATTGGGTGAAAGGGAAAGCGAGTGGTGGAAGTCACGGCTAGCGCGCCAATCGATGCCGACGCCACCACCGCACCCGCATTACATTTCGCGCAGATCCTGCGCCACTGCTGCTACTGCTGCAGCAGCCGGGATGAGAAAGAATATTTGAGGACATACTGTTGCCCGGCAGCCTTGTCGCTCTCGTCGTCGTCGTCGTCGTCGTCGTCGTCGTCGTCGTCGTCGTCGTCGTCGTCGTCGTCGTCGACGGCGGCGGCGGCGGCGGCGGCGGCTACTCTCCGTTTTTTCTTCTGCTATCCGCGCGCTTCCGAGTGTCGCGGGGATGCTCCTGCTTTCTGCTTGATTTCTTTTTCGTCGCGTTCATTATTTTGTTTTTCGCTCTTCTTGCCTGCGAGGGCTCTCGTTCAACCACAAGCTTCGAGTTATGCGGGAATTTTTATTTGTATCGCAGTTACATTTGTAAATCCTCGTTTTGATCTGCTTCCTGGGGCAGCGATGCTCCAAAGTCATTCGTTTCGGAGCAGAGATTTGTTTGCATGACAGTCCGCAGAGTATATTCGTGTTTATCTTGCTGCTGGATTCAATGGACTCGAAGCAAATGAAATTTAATGAAGCATATGGTTATACAAATCTCTGATCGAACGTGTAAGTTATTATTCAATTTGAACAACAGAAGAAATTCCGTGATATCAATCGCTCATTAGCCCGAGTGTCGTATGACATGTGCGCAGCGCAGCTGATAATCAAAAAATCAAACATACGATAAGCCATCGCGCTTGAATTATTCATTGCGAACTCGAAATAACACCACGCGTACTTCACGCAAATTTAAGATTAGACATCTGAAACATACACTCTGTCAGAGTGAGCGAGAGAGGAGCGACGAGAACGTTTTTGTAACCTGCCACAGCACACGCCTATAATAAACCATGCACTTTAATAACGCACGTGTCTAAAGAGGCAGCAGTCTCGAAAAAGGGGGTATTTCCATGGAACCCACGTTAATTTTCCCAGCGACCGTAAAAGACCGAAATTGTAGGGCATGCGCATTGAGAGGAACTCCCTTCTTTTCTTCCTTCTTTCTCATTTTTCAACTCTAAATTTAGAGGCATCAGCCAAGGTCACTCTCGTTTTTTTCTCCGTTATTTTGCATCGCGCACGATCACAAAGAGAGAGAGAGAGAGAGAGAGAGAGAGAGAGGCGAGGACAAGATCAACGCGGAATTTCGATCGATACACACGCAGTTCTATCTGCCGCACAGCTGCAAAAACAAGTGTTCCGTGCGCCTGCTTTTTTTCTCTCTCTCTCCCTCTCTCTCTCTCTCTCTCTCTCTCTTCCCTCTTGCGCCTATTGTCTCGTCACGCTGCATTACAAGCGGACTCGTAATCGCGTCGACAGGAAAACCGTGAAAACGTGAGCGGCACGTCTCAGTGCATATTTCAGTCATCTTCCGCTTTGGGCCTTATCGGCTTGTATGTACGTACGCGAGAGAAAAAGCGACACAAAAAAAAACCACGTCTGAGCTATTTTTGGCGCTGTGAGAAAGGGGAAAAAGTGTACGTTGTACGTAATCAGCCGACGTTCCTTCATCTTCCAGCGCATTTTGCATACTTTGTGAAAACTTCGAAACTTGCACGAGTAGATACGCGCCATTCGAAAATAAAAGCTCGCCGTTGTGATAAGAAGGCTTTGATATCGCCTGTGTGTTGATTCACATTTCGAGATGGTTTTTTTATTGATGGCCAACAAATTTACTTCTCTCTTTCTTTCTCTCTCTCTCTCTCTCTCTCTCTCTCTCTCTCTCTCTCTCTCTTTCTTCTCTCTCTCTCTCTCTCTCTCTCTCTCTCTTTCACTCGAGCGACTTTGATAAGAAGCGATCGGCATTATTCATATCAATACGTCGGCTGAGACAAAGTTACATACATAAGTATAAGTATTGACTTTCTCGTGTGTGGGTTACGTCAAGACTTATCGAATACCTCGGGGCTCTCTCTCTCTCTCTCTCTCCCTCTATCTCCGTATTATCGTCACCACAAATGGGAAAAACCTCTCGCGCCATTCTTTGTTTTCTCGCTTTATATCACTCCACTGGAAATGTCGGTCTCGTTCGAGATATTAATCGAGCATCAAAGTATTCTTTGCAATTGCTCGAGGAAAAGCTTTTAATTAATGACCCAACGCTTTGTCACTCGGGGCGCGAAACCTTCGAATGTATCATGCGCAACGTCAGCTACTCATGTTTTACATGGGTATCGACGAAAACCCACCATCTTGAGCGTCCCTCAAAAATACGTACGAAAAGAAAAGTAGTAACGTAATTCCCACGGAGGCATTTGTGTACACGCGAAAAAAAGGGACCGCAAAAATAAGACCCCGATTTAAGGCTGCTTTATGCACAAGACGTGCGTACCTTGCACTCCTTCCGCGTGTGTCGCTCTCTCTTACGCGAGAGAAAGAAAGACGAGGGAAGTGCGCGCAAATTTGTTTCCTTGACGTTTATATGTGCTTTGCCACGCTGCACGGGCAGCATTTCATTTTCAAGGTGAATGAATACTAATAGGACGATCAATTTATTCTTCGCACGTGTTTGCTTTGCAACGCACAACAGTTTATTTTTACAGTTTTTTGGTGGTTGTGCCTAAAACTCCATTTGAACAGTGAGGAATGGACGTATTTTTACTACAGTTGGTTACGAAGAATGTTAATGAAATTGTAAATCTTAAAGATGTATGTTTAAGCTTTTTGCAGAGTATTAAGCTGTTCGAAAGTCGGCCATTCGTCAGTCGAAGCTTATTCCTAAATGGAATGGACAAAACGTAAATAGATCAATAATCGTAAATATTAAAAATGATTAAGATATTCGATTATTTCGATTTTTCCGACAGTCACGCGAGTGTAGTGAGAAAAAATAACGCGGTCGTCTATGCGCGCGAAGCCAATGTTATACCCGGTAAGAAGATACATATTGGATTATGTTGCATAATTTTATTGACCGGCGCAAAGTATTTGAAATACGAGAGTTAGTAAAAAGTTCCTTAACCCAGCTTTCGCGTTCCTAATACGTTATTAGGAAAGGAAATTCATTAGAAATCACGAAACAAAAATGACTAATCGCTTCGTACGCGTTTCGAGTAACAATTATTTTCTTCTATGAATATTCAAAGGGAATGGCAAAAAAGGTAAGCGAGAGGCGAATTAAAAATCCTCTCCTTGACAACGCAGATGAAAAAAATTGTTGTAATCGTTTCGGGTTTCTAGGACACGGGCGGTTCTCTCAATGGGGGCGGCGGAAACTGTACGAAGTTAGCCAGATGTTACACGAGCGGCAGGCCCGCGCCGAATGGCGCGAATTCGTCCGTAAGGAGCCGACACCGAATTAACTTCTTATTTTCGTGAACAAAGCGCCAGTTATTCGCCATAGAGGAGACGCCTTTCAAATATTTACTTTGTCATGTTCGCTTAATTTTTTACATACCTATGGCCTCTCCATACCGCGCAAACGTTTCTCCGGCGTATACATATGTCAATAACGCGATAGATCGAGAACTCTTGTGGATTAAATTGCATCTGTTTCGAGTACTTCGATGCGATTCGCTGCCATTATCGCCTGTTTTCCGAATGTACAATAATATGCAACGCACAGAGCGACAACGAGCAAATCAATTAATTAAAAAAGATAATCTGCACCATTTATTGTGTCGCGTGTTATTGTACTGCCACCACTGTTTAAAGTACGATACAAATAGCGTCATTCTTGTATCGCTATCTTATCGTGCAATGTTTTTTTTTGCAATTCGCCTCAGTCTCCTATCTATTTGCTTAAAAGGTTAAAAGTACAATTTTTAACGATAAAAATAAAGCATTATTAAGTGAGAGAGGGAGAGAGAGAAAATTGATTAAAAAAATTCGGCTATCTGGTGCGGTTTTACGATAATGTTCTCCTTTTATACGTGTTTTATCGAAAGCACGCATCATTATATTTGAATACAAACCCTTCCTAGCAAACACCCTTTAAACAAACAAAAAAGTCCCCTATATATTGATAAAATGATTTATTCTGGTAATAAATAAAAAAAAACATCGCGATTCCAGTTGACACAACTTGGTAAATATGTCGAGGTCGCAATTAAAAAACATAACTTATTATCAACAAAAATGCGATTCGCTAACTCTGTGAAAATAAAAAAAAACGCGGAAGAAGCGTTGGCTGACGGTTAAACGAAAACGTCGGACCTCCGTATAGTCGGGGAGGGAGAGCGAGCTATATAGCTGTGAAGGTTGGGGGCACGGGGTTGACCGTGGGGTGTGGAAATCGAGGGTGTAGGTCTAGATTCCCCTTCTCTTTCTCTCGCTAGCGTTGCCGGGGGGCGTGCACAACTTTCCATTTCACCGGCGCATGCTCCCCCGCCGACGCGACGCCAACAGAGGCAATAGGGGCGTGCTGCTTTCGACATTTTTTTTTCTTTCTCTTTCCTCTTCTCTTCTATTTCTTTTGGACGGCGGACGTGACCGCCGCGCGCACCTGTTTTATCTAATATTTATT